TTCCAGGTGCAAATGATTTTTGTGCCTCAGCCACAGAGTAGCTGGGACCACAAGCATGCACCGTCATGCCCAGCTCATTTTTGTGTTTTTTTTTGACACCAGGTTTCATTGTGTTGTCCAGGCTAGTCTTGGACTCCCGGCCTCAAGTAATCCACCCACCTCGGCCTCCCAGTGTGGGAATTACTGGCGTGAGCTACTGCTCCCACCCTCCCAAGCTCTTTATGTCCAGCCTGGTCTTCTCTTTCATTTCATGATTTCTGGGGGTTTTTTGTTGTTTTTGAGACGGAGCCTCGTTCTGCCTCCAAGATGGTAGTGCAGTGACACGATCTTGGCTCACTGCAACCTCCGCCTCCCGGCTTCAAGCAATTCTCCTGTCTCAGCCTCCAGAGTAGTTGGGATTACAGGCATCGGTCACCACACACAGCTAATTTTTGTATTTTTAGTAGAGATGGGGTTTCACCATGTTGGCCAGGCTAGTCTTGAACTTCTGACCTCATGATCCACTCACCTCAGCCTCCCAAAGTGCTGGATTACAGGCACCCGTTAGCACACCCAGCTAATTTTTGTATTTTTAGTAGAGATGGGGTTTCACCATGTTGGCCAGGCTGGTCTTGAACTCCTGACCTCATGATCCACCCACCCTGGCCTCCCAAAGTGCTGGGATTACAGGCATTTACCACTGCACCCGGCCTCATTTGATGATTTCTTTAATAGGAAAGTCAGGAGTACTGGTGGAGGTAGCTCTCCGTCCCATGTCCCCGAAGCTTGGGTGGGCTAAATACATTTCTAGGAAGCCCATGGTGAATACCTCCTAGCTCACGGGGTGCCTCCCACCGCGTGTTTACGCAGGAGCGCTTCTGGATGGCCAGAAAAGGACATTTGAAGCCCCCCCCCTTCTATGCTGTAATGTGTGGTTATTTCCACGGGTGTGTTATGTATTAGTGAGACTCCAAGAGGTTTAGGGTGGAACAGGACCCGATTCCTATGTGTGCCTAAAATGGGGTGGCTACAGAAGGATGAGGACCCTGAATCCTTTAGAATCAAACCGAAAAGCAGTATTGCAAATGAGGAATGCTCCAGGCCAGGCTCAGTGGCTGACACCTGTAATCCTAGCACTATGGGAGGCTGAGGCTGGAGGATCACTTGAGCCTAGGAGATTGAGGTCAGCTTGGGAAACAGAGCAGGACCTTGCTCCTACTTAAAAAACGAAAAATTAGACACAGTGGCATGCACCTGTGATTCCAGCTACTTGGGAGGCTTGAGCCTGGAGGAGGTTGAGGCTGCAGGTCGTCATGCATGCACGAGTGCACTCCAGCTTGGGCAGCAGATCGAGACCCTGTCTCAAAAAAAAAAAAAAAAAAAAAAAAAGCGGGGGGGTGAATATTCCAAACTCAAAGTGAGAAGTCCTGGCTCCAAGGCCTGGTCTTTTTTTTTTTTTTTTTTGAGACGAAGTCTTGCTCTGTCACCCAGGCTAGAGTGCAATGGCGTGATCTCAGCTCACTGCAACCTCCACCTCCCGGGCTCAAGCAATTCTCCTGCCTCCGCCTCCAGAGTAGCCGAGATTACAGGTGAACGCCACCACGCCCAGCTCACTTTTGGATTTTTAGTAGAGATGGACTTTCGCCGTGTTGGCCAGGCTGGTCACGAACTCCTGACCTCAGGTGATCCACTTGGCTGAGCCTCCCAAAGTGTTGGGATTACAGACATGAGCCACCACGCCGGGCTGAGTCCTCCTCTTTCATAGCCTTGCTGTATGACCTTGAGGGGACACTGCCTCGGCTTCCACCATCTGCTTAAGGGGAATGATTGTCCTTGCGTGCTCGTTCCCTCCTCTGTCCCTCCCTCCCTCCTCCCTGTGCTGTCGTGCGCTCAGAGCAGATAATGGATGTGTGGCCCTAGGGTTCTGTGTAATTCTGATTAATATTAATGATTCGACATGCACTTGTCTGCTGTGTTCTCAGTCCTGGGCCAGCTGCCTTTCTCTGTGGGGAGCTGAAGAGGGAGAAGGTTGGACTCCACCCCCCAACCCCTGCTGGTGCTGGGCACCCCCCAATATCCAAAGGGGCTCATAAGCCAGAGACGGTGGCTCACAGCTATAATCCCAGCACTTTGGGAGGCCAAGATGGCAGATCGCTTGAGGTCAGGAGTTCCAAACCAGCCTGGCCAAGATGCCGAAAGCCCGTCTATACTAAAAACACAAAAATTAGCTGGGCATGCATGGCAGGTACCTGTAATCCCAGCTACAGGTAGGGAGGCTGAGGCAGGAGAATCACTTGAACCTGGGAGACGGAGGCTGCAGGGAGCTCAGATTGCGACATTGCACTCCAGCCTGGGTGACACAGTGAGACTCCGTTTCAAAAAAAAAATTATCCAGATGCGGTGGTGCACGCCTGTAGTCACAGTTTCCCAGGAGGCTGAGGCAGGAGGATCACTTGAGCTGTGGAAATGGAGGCTGCAGTAAGCCATGATTTCGCCACCGCACTCCAGCCTGGGTGGCAGAGAGAGACACCGTCTCAACATCAAACAGCGGGGGCTCGTGACCCCATCTCTTCCCTCTTTACCCCCAGATTTTCTCCCTGGGCCACTGCCCTAACCAGGACTGGCTGGCGGTCGGAATGGAGAGTAGCAACGTGGAGATCCTGCATGTCCGTAAGCCAGAGAAGTACCAGCTGCATCTCCACGAGAGCTGCGTCCTGTCCCTCAAGTTCGCCTCCTGCGGTATGTCTGTCCACTGGGGTGGAGTGGCACACCCCCCAAACCCCAACAAAACCCAGGGTGCCTATGCAATCTGAATCTTAGATAAATAAAATTTTAGTGCATAAATAACAATATTTGTTATTTATATATTCAGATTTATATACTCTAAAGCAAATCATTAGTATAAGTATATCCCAAATGGTGTGTGGGATATACTTATACTAAAAACCAAATGATGAGCTATTTGGGATATACCTGTCCTAAAAATTGATGACTTAACTGAGATTCAAATTTAAGGCCAGGCGTGGTGGCTCACGCCTGTCATCCTAACACTTTGGGAGGCCAAAGCGGGCAGATCACCTGAGGTTAGGAGTTCAAGACCAGCCTGGCCAACATGGGGAAAGTCTGTCTCTATTAAAAATTGAAAAATGGGCCGGGCGCGGTGGCTCACGCCTGTCATCCCAGCACTTTGGGAGGCCGAGGAGGGTGGATCACGAGGTCAAGAGATCGAGACCATCCTGGTCAACACGGTGAAACCCCGTCTCTACTAAAAATACAAAAAATCAGCTGGGCATGGTGGCGCGTGCCTGTAATCCCAGCTACTCAGGAGGCTGAGGCAGGAGAATTGCCTGAACCCAGGAGGCGGAGGTTGCGGTGAGCCGAGATCGCGCCATTGCACTCCAGCCTGGGTAACGAGAGCGAAACTCCGTCTCAAAAAATAAATAAATAAATAAATAAAAATAAAAATTGAAAAATAAGCAGGGCATGGTGGCAATTGCCTGAAATCCCAGCTACTTGAGAGGTTGAGGCAGGAGAATCACTTGAACCTGAGAGGTGGAGGTTGCAGTGAGCTGAGATCACACCACTGCACTCCAGCCTGGGTGACAAGAGAGAGACTATCTCAAAAATAAAAAAATAAAAAATAAATTAAGGCAGCACAGTAGCTGCTGCATGTAGTTTCAACTACTCAGGAGGCTGAGGTGCAACGATCACCCCAGATCAGGAGTTCAAGACCAGCCTGGGCAACATACCAAGACTCTACAAAAAAATAAAACAGCCGGGTATGGTGGGTCCCACCTGTAGTCCCAAATGCTGAGGAAGGAGGAGAGCTTGAGCCCCAGAGAATCGAGACTCCGGGAGCTACGATCACACCACTGCCTGCCAGCCAGGGCAATGGAATGAAACCCTGCCTCTTAAAAATATCATTCATTAGTATTAGTACATCGTAAATAGAAAAATAAAATACTTGGGCTGGGTGTGGTGGCTCACACCTGTAATCCCAGCACTTAGGGAGGCTAAGGTGGAAGCCTTGCTTCAGGCCAGGAGTTTGAGACCAGCCTGGGCAGCATAGTAAGACCCCCAACTCCACAGAAAATATATTTTTTTGAGACAAATTCTCACTCTGTCTCCCAGGCTGGAGTGCAGTGGCACAATCTCAGCTCACCGCAACCTCTGCTTCCCGGGTTCAAGTGATTTTCCTGCCTCAGCCTCCCAAGTAGGTGGGATTATAAGTGCCTGCCATTTGGGAGGCCGAGGCGGGTGGATCACGAGGTCAAGAGATCGAGACCTTCCTGGTCAACATGGTGAAACCCTGTCCCTACTAAAAATACAAAAAAATCAGCTGGGCATGGTGGTGCGTGCCTGTAATCCCAGCTACTCAGGAGGTTGAGGCAGGAGAATGGCTTGAACCCAGGAGACGGAGGTTGCAGTGAGCCAAGATTGCACCATTGCACTCCAGCCTGGGTAACAAAAGCGAAACTCCATCTCAAAAAAAAAAAGGGAAAAAAAGTGCCTGCCACAATGCCCAGCTGATTTTTGTGGTTTTAGTAGAGAAGGGGTTTCATCATGTTGGCCAGGCTGGTCTCAAACTCCTGACGTCAGGTGATCTGCCCCTCTCGGCCTCCCAAAGTGCTGGGATTACAGCCATAAGACAGTGCACCCAGCAAAAAATAAATGTATTACCTGGGCATGGCGGTGCACACCTGTGTTCCCAGCTACGTGGGAGGCTGTTGGAGGAGTGCTTGAGCCCAGGTGGTCGAGGCTGCCGGGAGCTGTGATCGTCCCACTGCACTCCAGCCTGAGCGACAGAACAAGACCCCCCACCACTTTTTTTTTTTGAGGTATCTTGCTCTTGTTGCCCAGGCTGGAGTGCAATGGCACAATCTCAGCTCACCGCAACCTCCGCCTCCAGGCTTCAAGCGATTCTCCTGCCTCAGCCTCCTGAGTGGCTGGGATTACAGGCACTTGCCACCATGCCTGGCTGATGTTTGTATTTTTAGAAGAGATGGGGTTTCTCCGTGTTCGTCAGGTTGATCTCAAACTCTTGACCTCAGGTGATCTGCTCACCTCAGCTTCCCAAAGTGCTGGGATTACCAGCATGAGCCTCTGCGCCTGCCCAAGACCCTTTCGATGGGGAGGGGGCAATAAGGAAGAGGGAGAGGCCAGACCCAGCCTGCCCCGCCTCTCCCGGCAGCCCTGGACTCTCTACAGTCCCTCCTCTTTGAACTGCACTGCTCTACCTCCCCAGGACGGTGGTTTGTGAGCACAGGGAAGGACAACCTGCTCAATGCCTGGAGGACGCCATACGGGGCCAGCATTTTCCAGGTACTCAGTGGGCTGGAGCCCCCACCCTGGCAGGGCCATGTGCTCAGGAATGCCAGGGTCAGACAAAGAAATTGCCCCTGTCCCCATCCCCTGGGCCCACCCGCCAGCCACCCTGACCCTCCTCGGTCCTGAAGCCTCCCCGCTGCCCAGGTACTAAAGCAGAGGTTGGAATTTCAGCCCGAGGGCCTCATCTCCACCTGTGGCCTATTTTTTTTTCTTTCTCTGCCTTTCTTTTTTTTTTTTTTTACAACAAGTCTTGCTCTGTCTCCAGGCTGGATTATAGTGGTGTGATCTCGGCTCACTGCAACCTCCGCCTCCCGGGTTCAAGCCATTCTCCTGCCTCAGCCTCCTGTGTAAATGGGACTACAGGCACCCACCACCATGCCTGGCTAATTTTTGTGTTTTTAGTAGAGACAGGGTTTCACCACGTTGGCTAGGCTGGTCTCGAACTCCCAACCTCAAGCGTGGTTTAAAGGGTTGTAAGAAAAAATCCCAGAATATGTAACATAGACTTTGGGCAAAGCCTGACATAGTTACCCATCCAGCCCTTTGTCAAGTTTGCAGAACCCTGGTCTAGGCCACTGCCTTGCCCCTCTGCTCTGCTGTGTGACATCACGCCTGGTGCACACCCGCTCTGAGCTTCTCAGAAAGGGCAGTTCTTCAGTTCCCTCTCTTGGTATCGAGGGCGTGGAGGCTCTGCTCTGCCCAAGGGACTTAGCTCCAAAGCACCTGTGTCTAGAAAAGGAATGACACGGTGGCACACACCTATTGTCTCAGTGCTTTGAGAGGCCGAGGCGGGTGGGTCACCTGACGTCAAGAGTTTGAGACCAGCCTGACCAACAACGCAAAACCCTGTCTCTACTAAAAATAAAAAAAAAATTGGCCAGGTGCGGTGGCTCATGGCTGTAATCCCAGCACTTCAGGAGGCCAAGGCGGGTGGATCACCAGGTCAGGAGATCAAGACCATCCTTGCCAACATGGTGAAACTCCATCTCTGCTAAAGTACAAAAAAAATTAGCCGGGGATGGTGGCGTGCCTGTAGTCCCAGCTACTCAGGAGGTTGAGGCAGGGGAGTCGCTTGGACCCAGGCAGTGGAGGATGGTGTGAGCCGAGATCGTGCCACTGCATTATAGTCTGGGCCACAGAGCAAGACTCTGTCTCAAAAAAAATAGTAATAATGAAATAAATTAGCCAGGCATGATGGCACCCACCTGCAGTCCCAGCTACTCAGGAGGCTGAGGCAGGAGGATCCCTTGAACATGGGTGGCGGAGGCTGCAGTGAGCTGACATCCCGCTACTGCACTCCTGAAGCCTGGGAGAGAGATCAAAACTCCATCATCTCAAAAAGAGTCACTCAGTAGCCGAGTCCTGCTCTCCCCTTCCTGACTCCGCCCCCACGTTGCCCGCACCCGCATCCGGGGGACCGTGCCTCACCCTGCCTTTTCCCTTACCCCCTTCCCTTGGCAGTCTAAGGAATCGTCCTCCGTCCTGAGCTGTGACATCTCCAGGAATAACAAATACATCGTGACAGGCTCGGGGGACAAGAAGGCCACCGTATACGAGGTGGTCTACTGAGACACCCCATGTTCCTGCAACCCCAAGTCCAGACTCCTAGGGGAAGCAGCTCCAGGTCAGGCCCCCAGGAAGCGTCTCCCCGCCCTGCCTGTGAGCCCTTAGTATCATCTGCTTTCTGGCCAGTGGGTTTACCCCTGCTGCACGTGGGGGCCGCTGGGCAGGGGGCCTTGCGGGAAATAAACGTATTTATCACATCCGCATTTCTCCCTTGTGTTGGGGAACTAGGGATCATTGCTTCCCGTGGCCACTGGTGCTGGGAGGAGGCCGGTTCCCGGTGATGGGATCGTACGTCACCAGAATTCATTCCGCAGCATGTTCAGAGGTGCCTGCGTGCCGTGTGAAAGTCCTCTCCTTCGAGACAAGTTGGGTTGGGCAGGGTGGTTGAGGTGCTGGTGTGTGACAAGCAGCCCTTGTGGCTCAGGGTTTAGCACATTGATTTGTGGCTCATACCCACAGCATACAGGGCTCTACTCCAGATCGTCACTCAGGCCTCCAGGTGGAGATTAATTTTTTTTTTTTTTGAGATGGAGTCTCACTCCATTGCCCAGGCTGGAATGCAACGGTGTCATCTCACCTCACTCAACCTCTGCCTCCTGGGTTCTAGTGATTCTCCTGCCTCAGCCTCTCCAGAAGCTGGGATTTAAGAATACCACCACACCCAGCTAATTTTCTTATTTTTGAACAGAGATGGGGTTTCAGCATGTTGGCCAGGCTGGTCTCAAACTCCCGACCTCAAGTGATCTGCCCCCCTTGGCCTCCCCAAAGAGCTGGGATTACAGGTGTGAGCCACTGTACCTGGCCAGGAATTTTTTTTTAAGACAGGGTCTCGCTCTGTTGCCGGGCCTGGAGTGCCGTGGCTCAAGAATTGCTCCCCTCTACCTCCTGAGCTCCAGCAGTCCTTCCTCCTCAGCCTCCCAAATAACAAGGACTATAGAAAGACACCACCGCCGTTCCTGATTAACTTATTTTTTGTAGAGATGGGGTCTCACCCTGTTGCCCAGGCTGGTCTCAGACTCCTGGACTCAAATGATCCACCCACATTGGCCTCCCAAAGTGCTGGGTTTACAGGCAGGAGCCATTCTACCTAGCTGATATATATTTTTTAAAGACAGGGTCTTGCTCTTGCCCAGGCTGAAGTGCAGCGGTGCAATCTCAGCTCACTGCAATCTGCAAGCCTCCTGGGTCCCAGCGATTCTCCTGTCTCAGCTGCCCCAGTAGCTGGGATTACAGGCACGCACCACCACGCCTGGGTAGTTTCTGTATTTTTAGTAGAGATGGGGTTTCACCATTTTGACCAGGCTTCTCTTGATCAACTGACCTCAGGTGATCCATCCTCCTTGGCCTCCTGGAGTGCTGGGATTACAGGTGAGAGTCACCGTGTCCAGTCCCAAGACTGTCTCTTAAAAAAATTATCCCGGGCTGGCCGTGGTGGCTCACACCTGTAATCCCAGCACTTCGGGAGGCTGAGGTGAGTGGACCACCTGAGGTCAGGAGTTTGAGACCAGCCTGGCCAACAAGGTGAAACCCAGTCTCGACTAAGCTGTACGTGGTGGCAGGTGCCTGAAATCACAGCTACTCAGGAGTCTGAGGCAGGAGAATGGCTTGAACCACGGAGGTGGAGGTTGTGGTGAGCTGAGATGGCAGCATTGCACTCCAGCCTGGGCGACAAGAGTGAGACTTTGACCTAAAAGAAAAACCCAAGATTCCGCCTAAGTACAAGGGGCAGGGGAGAAAAGGGCAGAGCCCACCGCTATTCAGTGTAGCCACACTGCCTGTGGACTCAATTTCCGCGAGCCCGGCTCATGGTGAAGGGCATGAGGAAAGGCCCCCGGGACTACCAAGGGAAGACTGCCTGGGAGAAGGGAATGGCAGGTTTGATGTCTCAGAGGCAAAGGGGTGCTTGGCCTGGGGGTCACCCCAGAGACAGTGGGGTTCCGCAAAGTGAGGCCTGCAGATGAGGCTTCAGTGGGGATCGGGGAGGGTGGGGGTAGTCGGGCCTGTGTTCTGAATCTCATGCGGGTTCCCACGTACAGCGTGGGTTGGCGCCGGTGCTGGGGCTCACGGCTGTCATCTGAGCACTTTGGGAGGCCGAGGCAGGAGGATTGCTTAAGCCCAGGAGGTCGAGACCAGCCTGCGCAATACAGTGAAATCCCATCTCTTAAAAAAAAAAAAAAAAGTTTAAGGCAGCATAATTTGGGTGGAGCACAGATGCCACTGGGAACGTTCTAGAAGGAGATGGGAGGGTTCCTGCTGGCAACAGAAGGCCTGCCCCGGCGGACATTTCTGGAGATACCACAGGAAAGGGATCATTACCTGAATTAAGGAACCCGTTGACATTGGGGCCCTTCCTAGCTTGGAAAAGGCGGAGTGGGCAAATGGCGTTTCCAGAGCCCTAATTAGTGTGGGAAGAAGGCTGGCCAGTGAAGCCACTGGAAATTCATGTCTGCCTTAGCACTGTGGACAGCAGTGTTCCTGTCCCCACCCACTCCATGCTAGGGGCACCCCGCAAGTCGTGCCAACTGGAAATGCCCCCAGCCATCACCTAGGATCCCTTGGGGGCAGTCACCCCATGGGAGACCCACTGATTAAATGGGATGTGTCTGGGGAAGGACCACTCACATGGTTCCTGGGATCACACCTGATACATCGCACGGGATTGGAGCTGCTCCGGGCGGCAGAAATGTCGATCCACTCCCCAAGTTGGGTAGTCTGTGGCCGTGACTAGACTCCTAGCTTACGGGCATGAGCCACGGTGCCTGGCCTGCAAAGCATTTTTTTTTTTTTGAGGCCGAGTCGCGCTGTGTACAGGGAGTACAGTGGCGTGATCTTGACTTACCGCAACCTCCACCTCCTGGGTTCGAGATTCTCCTGCCTCAGCCTCCTGAGTAGCTGGCATTACAGGCACCGACACCCATGCCAGGCTAATTTTTGTGTTTTTAATAGAGGTGGGGTTTCACCATGCTGGTCAGAATGGTCTCAATCTCCTGACCTCGTGATCCACCCACCTCAGCCTCCCTAAGTGCTGGGGTTACAGGTGTGAGCCACCACACCCAGCCTGCAAGGAATGTTTCTCATGAGCCCCAAGTCTGGAGCATCACTGAGACTTAAGACCACTACCCCAGGATTATTAGATCCCAGAAGCTGCAGGCGGCTCAGAGGACCAGACACTGTCTCTCACGTGTGATCTCAGCACCTTGGGAGGGTCAGGTGCAAGGATCCCTTAAAATCGTGAGTTTGAGACCAGCCAGGGCAACACAAGACCCTGTCTCTACATAAAATGTTGTTATTCTATTGAGATGTAGCCTCCGTCGCCCAGGCTGCAGTGCTGTAGCATGATCTCCGCTCACCGCAACCTCTGGCTCCTGGGTTCAAGCGATTCTCCTGCCTCAGCTTCCCGAGCACCTGGGCCTACAGGTGTGTGCCACCATACCCAGCTGGATTGTTGTGTTTTTAGTACACACGGGGTTTCACCGTATTGCCCAGGCCGGTCTCTAACATCCGAACTCAAATGATCTGTCTGCCTCACCCTCCCAAAGTGCTGGGATTACAGGTGTGGGCCACCGTGCCCAGCATCTAAGATTAGATCAGCCGGGTGTGGTGTGCCCATCTGTCATCTCCGCTCCTCAGGAGGCTGAGGCAGTAGGATGGAGAGGACACAGTCGGGGTGAAGCCACTCCAGCCTGCGTGACAGATCCTGCAAAAAAAAAAAAAAAAAAGGGGGGGGGGGCGGCTAAGAGCCACCAGGCTGGATAAAGTCCTTCCAGATTTCCACGAGATGAGCAGGGACGGGATGGGGAGGCCCCTTCCCCTTCAGAGGACAGGACATGTCCACTCTGCTTTTCCTGGATGCTTTATTACGCGTGACAGCAATCTGCTCACCACAGAGGGGGTTTTCAACACGGTAGAAGACCCTTCCCCACCTCCCTCCACCACGACCACCGGTTGGGGGAACAAAAAGGTGGGGGACGGCCGCGAAGGCCCCTCAGTAGGTCATCTGGTACACGGAGGCGTGCTCCCTGAAGCCGGTGACAATGAGGCGGTTGTTGGACGAGATGTCACAGCACAGGATCGGGGACGTCTCGGGTACCTGAAGGGGGAACCGTAGGCACTGAGCTGGGGAAGGACACACCCCTGGTCTTTACCCGTTAGCTCAAGCATGACACATGGTCTCTTCCGAGAAGACAGGACGGGGTCTTGCTCCATTGCCCAGGCTGGAGCGCCGTGGCGCAATCTCAGCTCACTGCAACCTCCGCCTCCCGGGTTCTTGCAATTCTCCTGCCTCAGCCTCCCGTGTAGCTGGGACTACCGGCACACTTCTCCACCCATGCCCAGCTAATTTTTTGTATTTTAGTAGAGACGGGGTTTCATCATGTTGCCCAGGCTGGTCTGGAACTCATAAGCTCAGGCAATCCGCCCGCCTTGGCCTCCCAAAGTGCTGGGATTACAGGCGTGAGCCACCCTGCCCGGCCTTTTCTGAGTTTTTGTAGAGATGGGGTCTCACTGTGTTGGCCAGGCTGGTCTTGAAATCCTAACCGCAAGGGATCTTCCTGCCTCCCAAAATGCTGGGATTATAAATGTACGCCGCCACGCCTGGGTCATTTTTTTTTTTTTTTGAGACGGAGTCTCGCTCTGTCACCAGGCTGGAGTGCAGTGGCACAATCTCGGCTCACTGCAACCTCCGCCTCCTGGGTTCACGCGATTCTTCCGCCTCAGCCTCCCCAGAAGCTGGGATTACAGGCGCACGCCACCACACCCGGCTAATGTCTTTGTATTTTTAGTAGAGATGGGGTTTCACCATGTGGGCCAGGATGGTCTCGATCTCTTGACCTCATGATCCACTCGCCTCGGCCTCCCAAAGTGCTGGGGTTACAGGAGTGAGCCACCGCGCCCGGCCTAATTTTTATTTTCCTGTGCTTGCCCTAATTTTTAATTTTTTTTTTTTTTTTTTTAGAGACAGGGTCTTGCTGTGTTGCCCAGGCTGGAAACATGGTTTTTGGGGCCACCTCAAGGTCCCGCCCCCCCAGCCCACCCCACAGTACCTGGAATATGTTTGTCCCCACTGGCATGCTGTAGACGCCGAGCAAGCCGTTCATCCCCACGCTGGCCCACCACTGGCCTGGGAGGAACAAGGGTATACGCTCATGGTGACATGAGCGGCTCAAGGTGCTGGGAGGAGCTGGCAGGGGAGGGGCAGGGCCCA